TCTCTCTCTCTCGTCTCGTCTCTCTCTCTTCTCTCTCTCTCTCTCTCTCTCTCTCTCTCTCTCTCTCTCTCTCTCTCTCTCTCTCTCTCTCTCTCTTCTCTCTCTCTCTCTCTATATATATATATATATATATATATATAGAAAGAAAGAAGAGGACAGAATAAAGGAGATGGTTGTACAAAACGTCTTCTGTGTCAACAGTATAGATATATAGAATATTAAGAAGATTAAATTAATTAATGTAAAGGTAATTAATGTAACAACTGATGACAAAGGCAGTACGACACACTTTACAAAACTATATAATATTATATTATAAATATTATACAATTTGTACAAATAATATAGCATCAAGTTACAAGACCTAAGACATTTTATCTGCTTACTGAGTTCATATGCGTTTATAATGGAATGGGTCACCAACAATTACGTCATCACACGTCACCATGCATATAGAACGTCATAGGGGATTTCGACACCAGAGGAGATACTGTCAGAGAATCTGTCCCCTACTGTCAATCTACTGCCATCCAGCCAGGTTCCTGTTGTTTTCCAGGCTGCCATTTCGATGTGCATACTTATCCTCGCCATATGTATCTGGTCATATCCACTGGATGCTCTTGGATATAGCATAGAGGTGCTCGTCACATGCAAGGACTGGTATCTGACCAGGGTTCAATGATCTATTGCATTTATAATAATTGTCATTGAATGACAGATCATTGAAACAGAGTGGGTCGACTTTTTGAAAAAATGGAGCAAGGCAGTAGAACCTTTGGGTGGAATATGAGATGACTGGTGGCTTGCGTGGTACGCAGCCCAGGAGATGCAGTCTCCGTCAACTATACCGGTCACACTTGCATTACGGACTGCATCTAACCACGCATACTCTTCATGCACGTGCATGCCTGGTTCGTGTTCGTCAACATGGTGGACCACGGTAGTTGCAGCTGGGCCCATTAAGTTGCGTGAGGGTAGGGCGATTGGCGGCACATGTGTGTAGAAATCTGGCAAAAGACTGACACACCTTGAAGAGCCTGGTTTTATTTTCACTTTGCTTACATCCGTGCTCTGTCCATCAAAGCCTGGATGCGGAAATAGGGAGATGCCAATGCCATGAAACGAATCTGTAGCCGTAGTTGAAGATGGATTATGGTCAATATTATCGACTGCACTTGTAGTAAACACGCCAACTTGAAAGTGTGTCACATACAGCAGTGGCAAGATCCGCGGACAATTGAAATACCCTGTCATATGAGACAGATATTCCCATATCAAACAACTTGTCGATCAGTCCACGCTTCCTGGTATGTGCATGTACCATCATCCCAATGTAAAGTGGTAATGGTGTGGACCACCCGATGAGCAACTGATCGGATCCTAGAATCCAATCCATATGTACTGGCACAGCAAAGTTCTGCAGAGCTTCCAGATTCATCACAAAAGAAACATGTTGCTTCCTCTATGGTGTCATTCACAGATCTTTTCCGCGTTGATATTTCTTTTGCTGTATCATTCCAAGCTACATCGGCATGCCGTTTCCGAAAACGCATGAGCTTGGTTAGATTATAGGCATCCCCACATCCCTTGTACCACTTTGCCTTATGGGCGGCAAGTGTGGCACTGTTTCCAGTGCCTTGATCAAGTCGATCAAGATTGAGGAAATTCGGTAGTTTACCGATCTCTTGAAATTGTTGCACATCATTAGAGACAGTCTAATTTAAGGAAGGAAATTTTTTATTATTTTTAACTCATTTCATTGTTTCGACGTAATCTTTTACAACTTAAACATAGTTACACTCATAAACTTGCTTCTATACTATTAGTATAGATATCTACAAATAATTTGAGCTATCTCTTGAATAAATTGGATGAGGATTATTGAAATTATAGCCAAAATACCCGTAAACCCGGCAGGGGGCGCTGTTCAATTGGCACCAAAGATCATATACAATTGTGTATGATCTTTGTTGGCACTATATCAGAAAATCTTCAGGACCTCATGTAGTATGCGTGGGCAGTTTCATAATTCTACCCAAAAGTGCACAAATGTGCCCATTTTTTATGTGCTTATCCGCTGGACTTACCAGAGAAATGTGGCTATATATTTCGTTACTAAAAAGATACTTGAGAAAATATACGCCAGAACTTAATCACCATTAATAAGGGATAAATTTATAATAATAATAATAATAATAATCATAATCATAAGAAGAATGAAAAAAAGAATTAATTAATTAAAAGAGAATGTGTCGTCACGTATAAGATTTCATTTTCTAGAAGAGGAATGTTATATTGGTTACGATGAGCGGGAACATGCTAACTGAAACGCCGTATTTGAAACATACGATGTCGTCGCATGCTTGCTAACGTTTAGCATACGCTACTATCTGGCGAGATAAATGCAGGTTAAGCTAGGTGATCACAGGTGCTTAGCTGAACACAGAAGCTTAGTGGGAACATGGTAAAAGTGAACACAGAAGT